AGATACACCCTGTAAGTTCTGCTACTGCTGCAGGGCCACGAGAGGAAGACAAAGCAGTTCAGAAACACTCACAAATGCTGTCAAATGGTAAATAATAACACAGTACTTTGATGTAGACCATGGTACTATGGTATACTAAAATTATGCTTTTTTTTATTTCTAACTAGGCCTGCGATTAAGATCCTCAGCCTAGTCCTCAGACTAACCTGATGCAGTGAGCAGCAGTCAAAACCCACTGATCGGAAATAAGGCTTCCACCGCAAGTGTGGTACCAGCTGCCGCCACTACTGTACTGGAGGGAGATCTAGGTGAAGAACAGAACAGGGGTCAGTTGTCTTCCTTATGTCCTTTTTGTTTATAAGTCAGCAAATATAAATTAATTTATAAATAAATTTTTGTAGCAAATAAAAGGCCCAAATAATAGACAATGCACAACTGATATTTATATGTATTATATGTAAGTAGTCTGTTATTACTGTTATAATTATATAATTCTATCGAATTATTATAATACTGTTATGAAGATCTCATTGATTTCTCAAGATTTTTTATGTTCATGTCTCAGGCTTAACAGGGTTAACATAGCTTATTCTACACAAAAGGAAAATGTTTTTGAACAAGGACAGAAATGAAGATTAACAGGACAGTATGTTTTCATAAAAAAAAAAAAAGTCATTTAAATAATGGAATGTGCATGTACCTGCCAGGGCCAGCTGTGTGGACGGACATCCACACCCCCCACAACCCTCGTTATAATAGGAGGGTAGGTGGGCAGCCCACATCCATAAGCTGAGGTGAAACATAACACATTATGGTTGTTTTAATAGCTATAAATATTACTAGACATTTTAAAAGTAATTTAATTGTTTAAAAATGCTAAATAAGATTGATGCTACTTCTCCTGCATGTCATTTCCAGACTTTAAAAAATAGTCTTTAAAGGCTTCTTACCTCCAACAAACAGAACAGCCAGGACCACAAACTTCATCATGGTTGTATCTTCAATGTTTGCCCTCTCTGCTGGGGTTTATATACTGGAGAATTCACTTTCAGTGTAATGTGTGACCACAGTAAGCAATCGTTTGGAATGAATGTCCTTGACTGCTTTAGGAAAAACAAATAAAATGACCCTCCCCTTGGTGCTTCTTTGGGTACACTTTGACTTTAATAATTCACAGGATATAATCTAATCATTTTATAGTAATTTTTTCCTGTTCTTTAAGATGTAGAACATTTGTTGTGTTCTCACATTTAATTTAATAAAAAAAAAAAACCCTTTTATATAGTTTCTCCATTTTATTTGCACCAAATGTATACTTTGGATAAATGTATTCAAATGAAGACCATATTGAAAAGGCATGATATTCTTTATATATAAAGAAGAAAACGTTTGTTTATAAAGTATATAAACAATGTTATA